GACAGGGCGAATTTCTGTGTCAGGGCGAATCTTGTGGTGTGAAAGGGCGAATCTGCAATGTCAGGTGGAAGTTCTTGGTGATTGGTCGAAATCATTGTGCTCTGACAGCGCAAATCCGTTGTCTCAGGGTGATTTTGCTGTGATTGGGCGAAAATCTTGTGCTGTTAGGCGCGGATTTGCAGTTTCAAGCCGATTTTGCATTGACCTGTAAAGTCCGAACCGAATCACCAGTCAAGAACACAAGCAGATAACAGAATCGGTACGTGTTTGTACTCGGAGTGATCAGACTGCACTCTTGGAAAACTCTGAAACATCAGAGTTAGCTCTAAAATTTCTCTGAAAATTACAGAGTTGGGGCCCAAAAATCTCTGATTTTAACAGATCTCGCTTGAAAAAAATTCTGAATTCTCAGAGTTTTTCATGCAAATCAGAGAAATTTCTCTGACTTCTGGGGGCCTGACTCCTCCATTCCTCCCACCAACACCAGATGGTACCCATACAAGGGAATGACACCACATATGACCTTTGCAATACAAATGATAATATAAAGCTAAGAACATAACGACTCTAACGAATATCTAAGCTATCAATAAGATCATGAATTTTGTTGCAGCAGATCCTTTGCCACTCTTAGCCACCAGCCTCCCCACAGGCCGACCTCCAGCTGACCACATGCCTCCACCTCTCCTGCCATCTCTCCCACAACACCCTGCAAGCAGGGTGCAAAAAGGGGTAAGTCCCGCCATGCGCCTGCCACCAGCCCCCACCAGCCATGCTCATCCCACCAGCCATGCTCATCCCACCCGCACCATTCCTCCCTCCACATACCATTGGAATGGCTGAGGATCTGCCTGCTGCTACTGTGCTACTGTGCTACTGTGCTATTGTGACCCTACTGACGATGACCCTACTGATGATGCTACTGCCAGTGCTGCTGCTTCGGAATGCTGCTCCTGCGTCACCGTTCACTGCTTCCCTGGGGTGCTGCTGTGCGTGGCTTGGGAATGCGAGTGGTTGGCAGTGCTGCTGCTGCGGAGCGTGGCTTGGGAATGCGAGTGGCGGCCACTGCTGCTGCTGGAGCAGCCGGTTTACGAGTGCTGTGAGGCGCAGCCTGCACTGCCTTAGCCGCTGCACCCGTGTGCGCTGCCCTGCTCTGCCCAGGCCGAGGGATGCCACTCGCACCACCGCCACAACGCCCTGAACCCGACCCCACACCTGCTGCTCGCCCTCCTGCTGCCTCCCACCCCTCCCAACACAGCCTTCCCTGCTGCTGCACGCATCGCCGTGTGTGCTGCCCTCCCATTCCCCTGCTCCCTCACCTTCTCTGCTGCCGCTTTTGTTGCCATCGACACCACTGGGCTGCTCGGAACAGCAACACTCTTAGCAGCTGCAGGCGTCACACGAGTGGCCTTGGCGGGCGATCCACTGGCTGCGGCAGCTGCAGGCTTAGCAGGAACGCTTCTAGCAGCAGCAGCATTGGTTGGTGCACCTGCAGATGCACGCGTTCCCTTGGCTGCTGAAACTGCCGCCTCCACAGGAACGCTTTTCACAGCAACGCTCCTCACAGAAGCAGTCTTAACAGCAGCGCTGCTGACAGCACCGATCTGCGCAGTAGCGGAGGTGACAGCAGCGGTGGTGACAGCAGCGCGTGCACCCATGACGTGCGTGGGCGTGGGCGTGTTGCTGCGCGGCTGACTCACGGGCGTGTTGCTGCGCGGCTGACTCGCGGGCTTGGTGGGTCGCAGCGGGGAGAAGCCCAGCGACGCACGGGGGGAGCGCGCAGTGCTCTGCTCGTCCTCGTTCAACCGCCCCACGCGCACCGCAACGGCGTGCAGCCGCTGCTGCCGCCTCTTGCTCATGCACGCCACTGCACTACTGCCACGCTTCCACCTGCTGCTGTCGCTGCCGTTGCTGCTGCCGCTGCTGCTGCCAATGCTGCTGCTGCGAATGATACTGCTGCTGGCAACGCTAGCGATGCTGCTGTCGTCGCCGTCGCTGCTGATGCTGCTGCTGTCGTTGCTGCGGCTGCTGGTGCTGGTCAGAGTGTTGCTGGCAGCAGCTGCAGCTCCGAGCGAGAGGGTCACAACGGGCTCAACAAAGGCGATCCCTGGGACGTACAGCCATGTTTACTCAGCTTCGCTGTAGTCTTTCCAAAAGTCATGCTCTATTGATGAATCTTCACCCATCGAGAAGCCCAACGGCCCGGACAGCCAGGTGCAGTCTTCCTCGGAGAAATCCTTCCAAAACTCGTGATCTAGGCCCAAGGAAGTCAGCGGCGCGTACAGCCACGTGGCATCCGCCTCGGAGAAGTCCTTCCAGAATTCGTAATCGATTGAGGGGCTCGTAAACCGGATAGCTGAGGCGTTCCGCGCGGCCATGGTACGAACAAGAGTCTAAGCAACTAGGAATTGCGAGAACCGGGAGATGAAACCAGATGATAGCTGACAGAAGCAAGTACGAACTCGAACGGCTGAGCAAGTAAAAACTAGAACGGGTGTGGTGGAATGAATGAGAATGACGAGTGGCTTTGTAGTATTGGGAATGCACGAAAACTCTAAGGGGGAAAGGTGGATGGAGCTCGGGTGGAGAGAAGGAACGGCGGTGGGTAGACGGTGGGAGGCAAGTCTGCTGCCCATAGCGAAAGTAATTCATCCCGGGAAAGGCGTGCTCTCTGTTGTGATTGGGGGAGAAAGAACGGAGGTGTTGAGCAGCCAATGGCAAGCTGTGCGAAAGAAATGCTCCAAGCGTAGCCTCGAGGTTCGGCACAGCCGGACAAGATTGTCGCGGCTCGTTCATCTAGGACCAAGTCGATTTTGGGCAGCAAAATCTCAGCGTTTCGGCAGCCCAAACTGAATTCGAATCGCACTTCCGTCAAGCTCGCCGCTGCTTGAGGGTGAACCAGTTATATGTCTGCGGAAGCACGGTGTTGCTTTTCGTTGACTGAATGTAGGGTTCCTCTGAGTCTGGTCTCCGATCTAAGGCATGCTCGAGGCTGCTATGCCTTCGATTTTGTTCCGTCAGCGTCAACGAACTGCGAAAGCAAACGGCCGAGGAAACAACGGAAGCGACTGGATCGGAGGCCAGCGGAACGCATTGCGGCGTGGCGTCAAACAGTAAAAAAATGATCGGACGGTTCTTGCAAGCTGAGGAGATCTCGGAGTCCCTGCAAACAAGTCTCAAGGAACTAGGGTTCCTCCCAAAACAATCGTCATTCAGGCAGGTTCGAAGGTGGGGATGAGAAAGAGAAAAACGAATGCGTTTATGTGCAGATTCGTTATCACGCATTACATTGTTACAAGCTCATCTATTGCGCCAATATTTTAGCAGGATCCTCATTTATGAATGTTGAAGAGAAAATGACACTGTTTAGAAGAACTTACCGTATGTTGCTGGGTGTGCATTTAGCAGAGAACCTGACCAATTTGTGGCCTGCCTTGTGAGAAATTATCGTACTTTCCGGGTATCGATAAATTTCCCTTTTTTCAGTTTTTTTTTTCTCTCTCTCTTTTTCTTTTTTACCTTTTTTGTGTTTCTTATTACGTTTTTCCATATCATTACCACAAGTACATTCAAGTACATGAATCTGTGCTACGGTATTTTAACAAGCGGAGAGAGATTTGACCTTCAATTAAACTCAAGCCACCCGGTAACCTGCTGGTAGCGGTATTATCAAGCATATTCCGTTTGGTAATGTGGAAATTAACATTATTGACGATAGCGGTTCTCATAATGAAAGGCTTTCCCACGAACCAATTGCATGCATTTCATAAGAAAAAAAAAATACACGAATGAACAGGTTATGGGCACATCCCTTCCCAAGTCAACCACCCAACCCCCTTGCCCTTCCTCTCTCTCCTTGCATGTAGCGGACATGGCAGAGCTGCCTGGAAGGCCCAAGGATGGCACATGGCAGGCGGTAGGGATAAGAGGTGTGGGAGTGGGACCTCCAAGGTACCGCATACAATGCCCACATGCCGGTGCTGGGTGGGTGATGGCAGGCGGCATGAATGAGGTTTGAGGCGCCCCAAAAGGTGTGGAAGTGGGACCTCCAAGGTACCACATGTGCATGGCAGGCATGCAGTGGAAAGGTTGTGGGAGGAGAGATGGGTGCTGAAATGATGGGCAGGGAGCAAGTGCATGGGGCGAAGTGTGTGGCAGCTTATGCGTGAGGGAGCAGCGCACGGAAGAGGCAATGGCAGAGGCAGAAGTATGGTTCAGATCCATGAGAATGGAACCACATCAGATCCATGAGAATGGAACCACATTCAGATCCATGAGAATGGAACCACATTCAGATCCATGAGAATGGAACCACATTCAGATCCATGAGAATGGAACCACATTCAGATCCATGAGAATGGAACCACATTCAGATCCATGAGAATGGAACCACATTCAGATCCATGAGAATGGAACCACATTCAGATCCATGAGAATGGAACCACATTCAGATCCATGAGAATGGAACCACATTCAGAGATCCATGAGAATGGAACCACATTCAGATCCATGAGAATGGAACAACATTCAGATCCATGAGAATGGAACCACATTCAGATCCATGAGAATGGAACCACATTCAGATCCATGAGAATGGAACCACATGAGATCCATGAGAATGGAACCACATGAGATCCATGAGAATGTGATTGTGAGAATATCCTTGTCGTCCCATACCCCATGATGCAACACAACGAATGGCGAGGGAACACGGAGCACTGAACACAACCTGTGGCGGAACAAGATAGATGGAATAGATAAAGGGTAATGATAGCAAGACAGAGAAAATTTAGAATGAGAGACTGGAAAGATGAGGATGGAAAGACGCCATTGGAAAGTCGAGAGAGCGAAAACAACAACACTGGTGAACCTAAAGCAATCGTTTTCTACATGTTCACCGATCAACACCCCCGAATATCTCCTTACAAGGTGCCCTTCTCGAAACGAATCTCATTCCCTTTGGCCATGCACGGACTGGGATACCCTCATGCCGGCATGGTATGGCTCACATTGGCATGGTATGGCTCACATTGGCATGGTATGGCTCACATTGGCATGGTATACTCACATTGGCATGGTATGGCTCACATTGGCATGGTATGGCTCACATTGGCATGGTATGGCTCACATTGGCATGGTATGGCTCACATTGGCATGGTATGGCTCACATTGGCATGGTATGGCTCACATTGGCATGGTATGGCTCACATTGGCATGGTATGGCTCACATTGGCATGGTATGGCTCACATTGGCATGGTATGGCTCACATTGGCATGGTATGGCTCACATTGGCATGGTATGGCTCACATTGGCATGGTATGGCTCACATTGGCATGGTATGGCTCACATTGGCATGGTATGGCTCACATTGGCATGGTATGGCTCACATTGGCATGGTATGGCTCACATTGGCATGGTATGGCTCACATTGGCATGGTATGGCTCACATTGGCATGGTATGGCTCACATTGGCATGGTATGGCTCACATTGGCATGGTATGGCTCACATTGGCATGGTATGGCTCACATTGGCATGGTATGGCTCACATTGGCATGGTATGGCTCACATTGGCATGGTATGGCTCACATTGGCATGGTATGGCTCACATTGGCATGGTATGGCTCACATTGGCATGGTATGGCTCACATTGGCATGGTATGGCTCACATTGGCATGGTATGGCTCACATTGGCATGGTATGGCTCACATTGGCATGGTATGGCTCACATTGGCATGGTATGGCTCACATTGGCATGGTATGGCTCACATTGGCATGGTATGGCTCACATTGGCATGGTATGGCTCACATTGGCATGGTATGGCTCACATTGGCATGGTATGGCTCACATTGGCATGGTATGGCTCACATTGGCATGGTATGGCTCACATTGGCATGGTATGGCTCACATTGGCATGGTATGGCTCACATTGGCATGGTATGGCTCACATTGGCATGGTATGGCTCACATTGGCATGGTATGGCTCACATTGGCATGGTATGGCTCACATTGGCATGGTATGGCTCACATTGGCATGGTATGGCTCATATTGGCATGATATGGGCCGCATCACTGCACAGTCAGAGGGGGATTGCAACCGGCATGACATGACATGCATTGGTGACACGCTTTGGACAACATGGACTGGCCACAAGGAAATGACATAACATGCAGCTGATCTTGCAAGCTCGCACCCATTAGCTGACAATCTCGCACCTCCCATGCCGGTGATGGGCAGGGCTGAGTGATAGGTGATGCAAGGAGGGGAGAGGTAGGCCAAAGTTGAAACGATGCTTGATGGTTGAAGGAGGACGAAGAGTGTGAGTTGCTGCAGACGAGCTGAGACAGCAGGTATATGTCGTGTCATCACCTCACGTGCCGTGTCATCACCTCATGTGCCATGCAATCACCTCATGTGCTGTGTCATCACCCCATGTGCCTTGTCATCACCTCATGTGCCGTGTCATCACCCCATGTGCCGTGTCATCACCTCATGTGCCGTGCCATCACCTCATGTGCCGTGCCATCACGACACATGGCTGTGCTGCCACAGGGCTATGAGCACGTGTTGACGCACTTGTGGACGCGCAAGCCCAGGCAACTCACATGCTCACACCTGTGCTGTGCGATATGAACATGGGTATGTGAGATGGGAAGGTGATATGAACATGGGTATGTGAGATGGGAAGGTGATATGAACATGGGTATGTGAGATGGGAAGGTGATATGAACATGGGTATGTGAGATTGGAAGGTGATATGAACATGGGTATGTGAGATGGGAAGGTGATATGAACATGGGTATGTGAGATGGGAAGGTGATATGAACATGGGTATGTGAGATGGGAAGGTGATATGAACATGGGTATGTGAGATGGGAAGGTGATATGAACATGGGTATGTGAGATGGGAAGGTGATATGAACATGGGTATGTGAGATGGGAAGGTGATATGAACATGGGTATGTGAGATGGGAAGGTGATATGAACATGGGTATGTGAGATGGGAAGGTGATATGAACATGGGTATGTGAGATTGGAAGGTGATATGAACATGGGTATGTGAGATGGGAAGGTGACATGAACATGGGTATGTGAGATTGGAAGGTGATATGAACATGGGTATGTGAGATGGGAAGGTGATATGAACATGGGTATGTGAGATGGGAAGGTGATATGAACATGGGTATGTGAGATGGGAAGGTGATATGAACATGGGTATGTGAGATGGGAAGGTGATATGAACATGGGTATGTGAGATGGGAAGGTGATATGAACATGGGTATGTGAGATGGGAAGGTGATATGAACATGGGTATGTGAGATGGGAAGGTGACATGAACATGGGTATGTGAGATTGGAAGGTGATATGAACATGGGTATGTGAGATGGGAAGATGATATGAACATGGGTATGTGTGATAAGAAGGTGATACAAACATGGGTGTGTGAGATGGGAAGGTGATACAAACATGGGTATGTGAGATGGGAAGGTGATACAAACATGGGTATGGGACATGGGAAGGTGATACAAATATGGGTATGGAACAAGGGATGGGAAGGTGATACAAGCAAGGTTACGTAACATGGGAATGTGATACAAACATGGGTATGTGAGATGGGAAGGTGATACGAACATCAATATGGAACATGGGATGAGAATGTGATACAAGCATGGGTATGTAACATGGGAATGTGATACGAACATAGTTATGTGACATACGGAATTTGATACAAACATGGGTGTGTGAAATGGAAGTGTGATACAAACGCGGGCCTGTGATACAAACGTATGTGGGTACATGGGTTTTCAAAAATGTCGTGTGATACAATAGAAGGGATAAGGAGTCGATAATGGAATGTTACAATACAACGAGAATCAAATCACGTGATGAGAGTGGGGTCACGAGAGTGGGGTTACGAGAGTGGGGTCACGAGAGTGGGATCACGAGAGTGGGGTCACGAGGGTGGGGTTACAGGAAGGAGATCGCGAGAATGAGATCATGGAATGGGATCGAGGGAATGGGATGATGAGAATAAGATCACGCACATACCACAGGAATGGGACCACAAGAGCTCCATTTTGCGAAGATGAACATGAATCACGGGAATGGAGAATGGCATCGTGATCAAGGAGAATGGGACTATGGGAATGGAAAAATTGAAATGGGATTATGACAGGCAGGTGATCAATACTGTGTGATCAGGGAATATGAGAATGGGTTATCAGGATATTGGGGTGATGGAAGTGCGATCAAATCTATGTGATCAGGAGAGTGAGAGAGGCAATGAGAATGGGCTTTCTGGGATCTCAAGCATGACTACGGTCTTAAGCCAATGTGATCACATGATGGGATCATGGGATCGGGATCACTGGAATAGGATCAGGAGAATGGAAATATGAAACTGGGATTAACGTAATCTGGGATTATGATAATGGGGTGAAGATCGGTTCCTAAAAATAAAATCACAAACTCAGGATCATGGGAATGGGATCAAGAGGCATGTCATGCGCGCATGAGCAAAGAAGCACATCAGGCACACATGAGGCATACTATGCACAGAATAGCAAACAGGCATGTCATGCACCAAGTGTAAACAGCCACATCATGAACGCTTGAGCAAAGAAAAGTATGAGAAAGCAAGGGAATCAGCAGATTAGGGTGCTGCTGTGATGGCATGGAGTGCATCAGATTGAGAGAGTGGATGAGGCATGCAAAGTAAAGTAGTTGATTGAGGGTGATGGATGGGATGCACTCATGACTGTCAGCAGCAGAACGAATGGAATGGCATGGATAGGTCATCCATGCCCTAATGCATCACAGACATCCCAAGTGTAAGACCAGTGAAGATAGGGGAAGTATGACAACTGGAATTGATGCATGTGTCACAGACATGCCATCATGCATCACCGCTATGTTGGAAAAGTCGCGCCCAGCGTATTATACGCAAGCGTATATACGCTTGCGTATAATACGGGATGCGCAGAATGGGTGACTCAAGAATACGTGAAAAATACGCTGCCCGGGCAGGTAAAACTTTTTTCCGGTCAGGCGGGACTAGAAACCTCATTAGTCGCACTCGCGGGAGTGCCAGTGCCAGTAGGGGGCGTCATCGTAGAGCTGCGAGGTGATCGAGAGAACTGGAGAAAGAGCATTACGACGTGACTGATGAGATGTTTTAGGGTTGGGAGGGATTACCTTTTTGTCCTCGATGAGAGGTGAGGTAGGCTGGTTGGAGACATTTGTGTAGCTGAGTTGGAGTTGCGGGGTAACGGACGGTGCAATGCGGTTGATTTGAATACCCCCTTGCCAAATTTGTGTGTTGGGTGGGGTCGACGAATTGTGATGTTGCGAACAATTTGATGTCGCGACGCATTTTCCAATTTCGTGCGCGAACTTTTTCTCTTTCTTTTTTTGGCCGGGCAGCCCGGATTTTTCCGAACGAATGTACGTGCGTATTGCGTACAGCGTATATTCGTCTACGTCTATACGCTGTACGCATGCCCAGGCTGGCGACTTTTCCAACATAGCATCGCCGACATGCCATGCATCACAGGCATGCCATCACGAATCACAGACATGCCATCATGCATCACAGACATGCCATGCATCACAGGCATGCCATCATGAATCACAGACATGCCATCATGCATCACCAACATGCCATCTGCATCACACACATGCCTTCGTGCATCACAGCCATGCCATCATGCATCATAGACATGCCATCATGATTCATCGGCATGCCAGTTGCATTGGCATTAGGGATTTCATTATCATTTCAATCTTACCATGTTGTTCAGCCTCATGCTTCCTGCTAACTTAGTATTTTCAAATTGTTAAGCAGAACCAATCTATACTTGGTAGTTCTTCTTACCAGGGCATGAAAGGTGATGCTTATATACACTGTACATGAATAATGAATGAGCGTGATTACCAAGACTATGGCAGCACCCATCCCACACCTTCCTCTCCATCCACCATTCCTCCCACCTCTCTCCATGGAAACCTGCCGGCAGGATGGAATAAGAGGGCAGAAGAGTAGAGCAAGACATGAAAAGCCGCTTGGATCATCTGCAAAATTGCGTGGTCCCCAAAGTGTCCCGAATCCGTGCTCTCCCACATCTGACAACAATCCGTCCCGAAACTGTCCCGAAAGACCCTTTCGAGACAGTTTAGTACTGTAGCCATTTAGGGGCACTTTTTTCGATGTCCCGAAACTGACTTGTGGCAAAATCTGTCTTGTAACAGCAGTTTGCATAACTCGCAAACATACCATAATTAGCAATGTTGTTCGTAAACATTCCCAAAGCCACTGTTGTGAAACAGCTCACACACGCAAAATAAAGTGCAGGGTTCAACATATAGTACATGCGACAAGTCAGAGTCCGCTGCATGTCGGCCCTACAACAACATTATCGTTCTTGTCCATCCGATGCACACGTTCGGCAATCACCCACCTAGAACAGAAACCTGTTCACAAGGTATATTTCTGGCTGTGTGAAACTGGGAACGATGTGTGCCAGACCCAGAATGCTGTCCACCTCTAACACCGCGTAATCATCTCTCCCGGTGGTGAGCCGCAGACGTCGGCACCCTGTGACAGGACACACACTCTCCAGCTCGGTGTAGTACTTGACGAGTGCGCGCCGCACTACCTGCTGTGTAGCATCGGTGAAGTGAAAGAGCATGAGGCATCGTCCGTACCAAACCTGATCACCCTCCCCTTCTATCTGCACATGGCTGAACTTCTGCTCCGACGGCGACGCCTTGATTATCTGGCCCTTGTCGCCTCGATCCATGCAGTCGTGCGGTGGGATGGCCAGCGCCGTGTGCACCTACACGGATCCAACAAGACACATTGGTTTAGTGTTCAAATGATGTTTAGGCCCACCAACAACAAACGTTGCTGCAGTTCAGATCTACAAGGGGCACCGTGTGAACAACCCTCGTACACAAGACACTATGTCGCATGCATGCCTCACCTGCACCGTATCTGCCACGACGCCGACTGCTCTCATCACCGCCACCGCTCTTGCCATGACTTCAAAACCAAGAGCCTCGCTGTACTCCGACCACACCGGATCCATCTTGACATTCACTTCCATGCGACGGCTTCGTTTGGTGAGGACCCGGATGTTGTGCTCGACCGCCTGGTTGCATGTAGCGCCATGGAAGCAGATTTACATTAGTAATACAAGCATGAGCCTGAAGAGACATGTGCAGGCTGATCCACCAACCGACCCCCCCTCTACATCCACCCCCCATTCCCGACACCACTCCTGAACGGATGCCCCGTTACTAAGAACCTAGCTCAGTGTAACCATTGCACTAACTGTACATGTGTGTGGATACTTACCAAGCGCATGGCGGTCTCGTAGACTCTGGTGCCACCCTCGGCTCGCACCAGCCCGCGGATCGCGGCCTCCCGCGAATGCCTCACTGTTATGTCGCGGCTGACATCCTTCCAGTTAGTGTTCTTCGCGTGACGCTTCACAGACGACTTATGCTTTGCCTCGTACATGTTGGTAGAGTACTCAATCGGCATGCCTCGCGTCAGGATAGCGGTTGGGAGGTGGGACAGCTCGTGTACCTTCACGATGAGAATGACCGACTTCTGGTTCGGAAACACGACCACCAGCTTATCAATGAGCCTGTTTTGGAAACCAACAAACACAGCGTTATCATGCCACACAGTGGGTTTAACAGCCTGTCAGACCACACCATAAAACACCACGACAGCTGCTCGCAGCCTCACCTTGCTGTCATGGTGACCATGTCCGCAAGGGACTGCTCCGTGTGATACTCCACGCAGAAGAAGGCTTTGTACCATTCATTGAACATAACAGTAGCCTCACCGATGTCCTCATACCCGGGGAGGTGGGCGATTAGGGGAACGATCTGCATCATCGCACGGTGTTCCCATGCCGCATACTGTGCCACAGTGCGGAAGTAGTACGAGGGGTCTGGAGCTCTCAGCACCGACGCCGGTGTGTCCACAAGCACAGCCCGGCAACGCCTGCTCAAGAAAATGGGGGAGTCAGCGTGTGGTCACTGGGCAAGAGAGCCATAACGATGAGGTCGAAAGGTGCATCTTAGTGTTCCTCCAAACGAACAATGGCGATATAACATCCACCTATCAACGGAGGCTGTGCACGGGAACCTACGGCCAACCACACTCCCATGCGTACCACCAGCCCCTCACACCTCAACAGCTCGGCGCGTAACGTGGGTGTAAGTCTGCCAAGTATGCACTTCATTGTGTGCACCCATAGACCCTCGTCCACCACGTGTAAAATGCAGATGCCAATAGCCTCGTACATATTACCCCATGGCGTATCGAGGAACGCCCAGTCCCAAAGTGCACACTGCACACACGGTCACCACGCGCATACCCACACTCGATGATACGCAACATGGTGGCAATCACCACGGCAAATGCAGAAATCCACAAGGAGCACACGCTTCCATGGGCATCTTACCGCGACGTAGTGTGTGGAGAATGCCGTCTTTGCGATTTCACGCTCCTCGGGAGTGCTCTGCTGCATCAGCTCAAACACCTGTCGCTGCCCTTCTACTGTCCGTGGTGGGAAGGTTTCTGTAACATTCCTCAAATCCCACCAGCCCACATTGCACAATGAGCAGGGCTGCAAAGCCGTCGCAGCCATCGTGCATGTGACAGTTGATGACTCCGGGTGATCACAGACGTAGTCTGCTAGCAACGGGTGCACCGTCATCTCCACGCCATCAGCGTTTCTCACAGTGAGGCCGCCACTGCGAAGGAGACATTGCTTCGCAGCGTGAGTACGACACCCCCAGTTGAACGGGGTCAACATGAACCGCATGGCGTGTAACAAATCGGCATTGGGACCACGGTAGTTACATGACTGACCTGTCCCGACTCGCGAATGCCATGAGGGGCCCTACAACTACCCGCAGCATCGCTTGCATCACCTCCGCTTTCTGCTCGGCCGACAATTCCGCTGGCATGGGTGGAAAGATGGCAATAAGCTCGGTAGCTCCAAGGGTCCAACGCAACGCCTCGGGGATGTTCAACAATGTGAACTGGAGGGGATGCGTCGTACGACGCCCATTGAAGCTCAGATGAGTCACATCACTGAACAGTATCACGCCGGCCACGATCCCCTGTCCATCCATAGCTCCCTGCCCGAATGTGGAACATGCTCTCAGCAACCGCCAAGTGACAGAACGATGTGTTCCCCGACATCACAAAGCAATGATGCTCACCGTTGCTTCCTTAAACCATTTGCATCCAGACGCATTGCGGTGCACCGTCACTCCGTCCACCTTCTCCTCCTTCTATTCCGTCGCGAAACCTTCCACCCCTGACATCCTCTCCCACAATGACAGAAATACATCCACGATCGGACGGTGTCGTAACGTCAAGACGCCGAGATCACCATCAAGTACAATCTCTCTCTCCTCCCAATGCTCGTGTGCTTCCAGCACCTCATCCTCCCACTGTTCTAGGTCTCGATGGGTCTCCCACGTATCCAAGTCGTTCGGTGACCAGTTCCGAGCCTTAAACAACTGTATGATGTCGGTTATGGCCTCGTTAGGAAGGTTATACTTGCGGGCGATGTGCGCGAGCTGCGCACAAATGTCTACCTCCAGGTCGGACTCTCCTGACTGGTCCGATCCAGCCGCATTCGACGCGCTGTCTGTCTCTTGTGCCTCCTCCACATCCGCCCTTTCCTCGCTACACTCACTATAGGCGTCCCCTCTCTGGCCATCGCCCGCGATATCCATGTCTTCGCGATTGTCATCCCTATAAACGTAAGTGTACGTCGTCCGTGGATACTCATGAAAACGTCCTACACGGATGCCAAGAGTAGCTAATCTCTCTTGTTCGGCCAGGCACTTCTTTGATCTGTAATGATGCGCCCGTAAACGCTGAAAGTTGCGGAAGAGGTCGCCACAAAACTCACAAAGTTCCCAGGGCATCACTGGTCTAAAGCTCTAGGACGAGGATTCCTTGACAGTCAAACTTGACTAGGGTTTGGCAATGTCGAATGCCTCTGTTTGTACCTATACCCATGGGCTCTGCCCATGCTTGGGGTGGTTCCGAGATACATTCGGGACAGATCTGCATGTTCGTTACACGGTACACCACACCGTCTACATCATCTTTGCCGGGGGTTCATGGAGCACACGTTCATAGTATACGTTTATATGCGTGTAGGTAAGTGTGCAGTATTCCACAAAAACGCCAACACACCACTGAGTGCTTACTATCACGAGCCACGTGCGGCGGAACCGTAAGGCGTCCACCCGTGATGGTTTTGGCCTTCAAAGACCATATCTACTTGTCGCAGGGCCTAGAACAATAAACAAAACTCAAAACTCGCACTGCCGATGAGTAGCTCCTCTACACCCCATCACACTCGTCTTGACTGTCCTTGCGGCACCTCTTGCATTCGTATTCTGGTAACAGCCGATTCATCATGGACATGAAGAGAAGTGCTTCGTGATATGTGGTTGGACGCCCCACATCTGCACACAACAGCCGATAATCTTCGTCACACCAAAACGACGACTTCACACACAAATAAACACCACAGCAAGATTTACCATAGGCGGTGTGGGCATCAGCCGGCCTTCGAGCCATACGGGTGTGGATGCTCACGCTACGAGGTCCCTCTGGAGCAGAATAGGTATAGCCACAATATTAGGAAATGCATGTAGTGAGTATGCCGCGCGATGCTATTGTGGATATCACCCGTGACTGACCGCTTACCTCTGGGGTTGTTACGCGGAACCGAGTGAGTGGCTGGACTCCCACGGCTGGGGCCAGGCACAGCATTAGCTGGTGAGCCACTGATGGATGGAGCGGGCCCAGATGACACATGCCTGGAGTTGCTTGCTGCCCCAGACGGGCTTGCATGGGTCTCGCTTGTACGTTTCACGGCATCATCGACTGCTGCAAGACCCCCCTCCAGCTTCAAGGTAGTTGAAGGCGACGCAAGTTCTTCAGCTTTAACAATGCACGAAGGTTTCGCATTCGCCGCAAACGGCGCCGCCGCCACACGTTCCGCGTGCCCTGCGGCCGCTGGTGCGCTCCCTGTCTTCGAGTCACCCTCGGCTCCCGCGACCTCTCCAACAACTTCCGCGTTTATGGGCGCCATTCCCCGCCTCTCCTCCGCTGTGCCGTCTCGAGTCTCTTCCACCATGCCTGCGACTGAGGCCTTTACTCCCGCGGCGACATCGTCATGGGTGGGTTCCGCCTTTTTCCCGGCCGCGCTCCTGGCGTGGGTTAACGACACCACATGCTGTGGTGCCTCGGTCTTCGCATCCTCTGCCGCGTCCGCGCCATGAACTTTCTGTCCACGTTCAGCCATGTTGGACGCCACCGCGTGTTTCCCATGATCTGTCTCTGCTACCACTGGCGGGGCCACCAAGTTCCCGTCCTTGGTCTCCTCCTCCTCCGACGTGTCCAACGTCCCGCCATCTTCCACATCGGCGTCCTTAGTCACACCATTCGCTGCGCCATCTTGTGTCTCATCCGCATCAGTCGATGCGTCACCCTGTTCAGCATCACGCCCATCGTCCAAAAACCCCCAATCCCCTCTCTCCGTTTCTGCGTCCAGGTACCCCGCGTGTCCAAGCGCTGATCCGGTTCCGTTGCCTATGGGCGCCACATAATCTCCTGGAGACTCTCCCTCCCATACTCCAGGGCCATTTCCGTATTGTTCCTCAGTGTCTTCGAGCGGCGCGTTTCCGAGGAGCTGTAGACGAAGTAGGGCTCGTCTCTCGGCTACTGTCCTACAGTGCGTATTCGAGCGAGCCTCCATACTCAGGTGAGGGATGGAACAGCCACAATGAAACCCTAGCTTCAAGGCGCGGTGTTATCTAACACTCTCGTGGTGGAGTCACGCGACCGGCATCTGGTACGCGCTATATGCAGCTGATGACATGTTTCGGACACAATACTGGTATACAGGCTTGATGCACACTGTAAACATCTTACCACCACACAACACTGGCCATGGCTATGAGGTTACACCATTAGCTGCACAATGTTCATTTACAGTCCATTTGTAACACAATGCCTGAGCCAGTTTCAAGGAGCACCGATACGTTACTATACCTCCAAAATAAGCCACTGGCGTAAACTGACAACCGTCAATAAGTGCTAGCTAGTGGCATTATTATGGAAAATGACAGTCGTTTGCAAGTTAGCAAGCATTCATCTCTTGGAATACGCAACACTCCACTCCATGAAATCAGCCAGATACTCTGCACGCCAGGTCACGCTCGTGCCATTGGCATGGATGGCTTTCACGTCTTGAAATCCAGACTCCACCAAAGCCTGCATGAACTTCATGACGTATATGCCACAGTCGTCATCGTTCTGTTGCTGCGGAACCTGCAACCAGGGACGAACACGAGGCAGGCTATTAGGTACACCGTGAGATGCGGGTAATGGGGAAAGGGTTCTTAATACATACCTCAATCGTAGCATGTTTTATGCCGCTCTCCCACACGTCCGCCTCCAACTCGGTCACAACCGGGTGCAGGAGCATCAGTTGGTCGCGCAAGCATCTGAGGTAAGCGACGGGGTATCAAACATGCATAGTTATTGAGTTGTATGCATCTCCTAGGAGCACGGACGCGCCATTAAGGATCAAGCTAGCCTCACCTTCTTATGGGACCGTCAAAGCCCACGTGTTGGGATCGTGAGTCCGCGTGTAAGATGCGTGGGGGTTGCGGGATGTTGTGCTCCCCCACGTCCGTGTCGTTCCCCAGCACTACAAGGCTCCAATGTGAACTGGTCGCGGGGATCACAATGTTAGAACATCCTGGTAGGGGTTCCTGATGTGTTTACAACATACGCTCAGCGCGACATTGAATTTTTTTTTTTTTTTTTTTCTGCTGTGCTCCAGTTCTATTGTTCCGTTTTCTTCATCTCCTCCTCATTCCTCCCACCCCTCTGCTGCTCTCTGCGCTTCCTCCTTGTTAATTCCAAGCTACAGATGTTGGGAGCAGAGAATATGCGGATGGGAGGAGAGGCGATGGGGAAAGAGGGGACGGGAGAAGGGGGAGCAGGTGGGATTCGAGAGACAGCAGCAGGAGAGAGAGGGGCAGAGAGGGCAGTGACAGAGACAGGGAGAGAAGAGGGGGAGAACGGGACGGCGATCGAGGCAGGGACAGGGACTACGACAGGGGTTCATATCGACACAGTGAGTGAATGATATTGACACGGTGAGTGAGTGAGTGAGTGAGTGATGCTTTTGAGGCGCCCAAGAGAGAAGAGGGGGAGAGCGGGACGGCGATCGAGGCAGGGACAGGGACTACGACAGGGGCTCATATCGACACGGTGAGTGTGCGAGTGATGCTTATGTGCGAAGGGAGAAGTCAATGTATGTTCTGTACTAAACAGGGTTCGACCTATCCTCTGCGTGTGAGGTTGATCGGGATGAAGACCCATTTGAAGGTCAACACGTTTACGCCACATGTATAGTCAGTCCATGGGGAGGCTCTTGACTTGCGTTGCATTATGTCATACAAAAACGTAGAGCAGTATAGCCATTCGAGACGGTCCAAGTCGTGCTCGAATTGGAGCATTCTGAAAAGACGACACACGTTAGTTACGGCAATACTCACAAAATCATAGTATGGATGTACTTTATCACACGTTTACGAGGGACGTTATAGTAACACTCACATGCCCCACCACTCGATGATGTCCCCGCTGACCCATTTGTCAGGCTGCAATGCATTGGCGGTGCGGGGAGTGATCGTCAAATAGCTGCCTCCTAACGGATATGGCATGGCATACTCCTTAAATTGTGCGCCACCCTTTTTGCCACGCCCTCTCTGCATCTCTATAACTCACGCTGGACCTACCCGTACCGCCGATATAGTAACAAACGATGGCTGACAGTCCCGGCCAAATGCTAAGGTGGAAGGCCTCTTAGTAACTCAATCTCTGTCTAAAGCTCGTTGTGAGTACGATTGGCGAAACCCTCGGCAATGATTCGGTGGTAGATGCTCGTGAGACAGTTTCGGGACAGTTACCAACTCCGAGTCGTTCGAACATCTTGGCTTACCGCCAAATTCTGGAGGTTTAGGCAAAACGGTAATGAGGTTTACATGTGTGTTTTTGGTGTGTTCATATGGTACATGCAGAAGATTGTATGCGGTACCGTACGATTCCGTGCGGCACCACAATTAGTAATACCCGAGGGTTGGGAAGACCCCCCATGACATTGCCTGGCTGTCACTTGAACAGCCTGGCGATGTGACCCATGTTTCGGTGTCTTTCACAGCCGCACACCCGTCCACGTGGCCAACTCGAGCTGGTGCGGGGGGTGTTGGGCGCATGATGTGACAGCTGGACGGCTCATCCTGACAGTCCAGCACTACATCGGGCATTGGAAGGTTGACAACCTCGCGAGTCGACACAAGACGCTCCATCAACGGTCCAGCGTTGGGTCAGGGGACTCGTATCAACGAGCCAGGGCCGTTGGCGAGGTCGATCCTGTGCCTTTTTGTTCATTTGAGGACGCAATGGTCCAACCACCTCGTGCTTTATTGACGTTGTGCGTTGGTGTAATCTTAGTTGTAGAAGTCCTCGCGACCATTTTCGCACTGGTTCTCTAAATAGAGGGCAGTGCTTCTGACCTTTCACCATGAGTGCAGCGGTTACACGGCCGCAGCGTGATAGACGTCCGCCACGCAAGCTAGCAGGTTTTGAAGGCGCCAAAACTGGTGGCAGGGGTAGGCCTTCCACTTCTACATGGCCTGTTGACGTCGAGGCTACAAGGGCATTCTTGAGAGAACACCGCGTGGCACACCCGACACCCAAGGGGTACTTGAGCGCGGAGCAATCCCCTGGCCGCGGAGCAGCGGCTGGCCAAACTATTAAGCCGTACGGGTACACCGTAGGGGAGAGGCTTGCGATTCAAGCGCAGCATCGGGGTTTACGACGGAGGCCGTTGACACACGTCGAAGCTGCGGAAGAAGTAAAGCAGGTGGAGCAGGGCGCAACTGGTGAGTGTTGCTTGGCTGTTCTATCTCTTTGCGTCATGTTAGTTTCTTGCTTTCATGAATCGTGCTGTATCTATTACGCTACCTGCCTGATTGGTGCGATAGAGACCCGCCCTGCAGAGAGTGACCCCATACCCGTGGCGAGCGGCGGGACCGATCATGGCGGGCCTCGAAGCTGTGAGCTAAACCCAGAGGCGTGGGTGATGTACAACGAAGTCCTTCACACGGTGCCGTTTTCAGACTGCACCTCCGAGGAATCCGCCAGGAGTACTTCAGAGTCCAAGGAGTCGTCTAGCAGTGGCGAAAACACCGCGGACGAGGATTGGGTGGCTTCCGGCAGCGATGCTGGTAATGAATCTGATGTACCGCCTGTGCCCAATTCCAACGCTAACCCACCAGGCACCCAAGGCACTCTCGTGAAGCCTGCAGCCGTCACCGGCATCACCTCAAGCTGGTCCGAGCCGTACGCAAGCCGTGTTGGACGCAGGCTCACCTGACCATGGTCGTAGGCGCTCTGCTGCCTCCGAGTTGAACCCATCTGCTCTCGTCACACCACAGAGGAAGGAGGTGTCCATCATTGCGCGTGGGCAGTCAATGTGCAAACCGACGGGACAGTATTGTTCTCCTAGGCGACAACAAATGCTCTCTCCCGCATCTGTGAGGGTTGCTGAAGCTCCGAGGTCCCCATTAGTGAATCACTCCCCCGCCCACGCAGGTCGATCGGCGAACCTTGGCGCTGGACTCCCTGGAATGGTACCGACCCCTTTCTTTGACGGTGGCGTGGGCCAAGCTGCCGCCATGGATGTCGAGCACGGTGACTCGTCTCCCGAGGAGGACACGAATGGCAAGGGCGAGGCGGATCGTGATGTGTTGGAGCTGCATAGGCTGCTGCGCAACATTCGCGCACGGAATGGTGGTGATTTATCGGCGGTTCTTGGAGCCGTTGGAAGTCGTGGCACCGCTATGCTAGGCGCAGATGAGATGGAGGTGTTGGGGAGTATTGGCAGCGGTGCCCCCCAACGTGGCGAACGAGGCAAGGCTCCAGTCTCAGGGGGGCATGGCAGCCCGCACCCTTCTACAAGTCACGGACATCGAGACGCTCGTACTGCTTCTCGTGGGCATCAGCCTGAAGTGCCGCATACTCAACCTTCTACACCTGCACCGCTTCCCTCACAGCCCGCCCCCAAACCCCAGGCAGGTGTCCGCGGGACTCATGCTGCACCTCGTGCCCAGATGAATCGGGGCATGTACAACAACCGACTGGGGAAGGAGCGTGCGCACCTCATCAACACCCACGGTGCTGCACACGGATCCGGTCCGCCGGCCTCAGCACCACGTGTTGGTGGGAGTGACAAGGGGCAGCCATCTTACCGGACACGCGGAGCCTGGCACCGCGACCTTGGCGCAGGGTCGGACGTGGGAAACCAGGGCCGTGGTATGAAACGGGAGAGGAACGTTCCTCAGATGACTCTGATCATCGACTATGATCCGGAGAGGAGCGGCGAGGGCCTGATTCGGGGCATGCAGTCACCGGATGAGATCGTGGTGAGTTGGCGCATGTATCACACCCCATCACTCCCCCCAAGGTTGAATTCCGCCCATGCATACGTGTTGGCGGATCGTGTAGGGAGAGTTTGCTTCCATCGAGTCGATGAAGTTGCCTTTGATTGTCAAGGGCATGACCTGGCCTTGTCTGACCGATTGTTGGGCTTTGATATGCACGTGTTCACGCCCTTTCTCTATGCTGCGAGCCCGTCGCCAGGTGCACGCCAAGTTGGCCATGGACTTCCTTCTCCGCAACTGTTCGGCTCGAGGTGTGACGCTGTTCCCCTCCAACACCGTGAGGAACGAAGCGTTGCGTATCATACTTCGAGCCACGCACGACGTGAGCTACATACAGGTCTCAGTGGCCATGTCGAAGACGGAATACAGCTCCAAGGTGCACAAGGTGTGGACGAAGTTCCGCAACGACTCCTCGTCGTTCGGCCCCTACAAGATCGTGTGCGGCCTTGGGATAGACGTCGTGGGCAGGGGGGTGTACAAGATGAAGCTCGACCCGAAGAAGAAGGCGGAGTGGTGGGAAACACTTGGCCCACGTGAGTATTGGTGCGCACCTCTTCCAGCCTACGTCTCACCCCCCCCATTCTATGTTGGCATGCCGCTAAACTCCCCTACACGTATGTATCCCTTGCTCCCCTTGGCAGAGGAGCACGAGGGGCACAAGGTCTCCTCGTGGAGCATTGCAGTGGGAGACAGGAGGCCCTTCACCAGCGCCCTCTTCTTTGCGGCGTGCAAAGCGGCCTACCCGGAGTGGGTCACGGCTGACGGCATCCTCGTGCTCGTCCCCTACCACATTGCATCGGTGCTGTTTTCGGTGAGTGTGCGGTGCGTGTATGGCCATGGGGATATTGGTGCTTAAAGGTCCCAATAAAGCTAATATGCTCGTTGTGGTGTGTGTTTCTTGGCAGTTCGACTATGGCATGACGAATATGAAGAGCAAGTCGCTGACCCTCTCACAGAGCCCACTGACCAACGAGCGGGAGATGGTGGAAGTGGTGGCTGAGGTAGAAGAGGCCATCAAGATGTGGCTGGTTGTCGCAAAGGGGCGGTTGTATGTGCCTGAGCTAGGGGCGTTCAAGTGGGGTGAAGCCGGTCTATTCATCAACGAGTCCGGGTTTCAGGAGTACCTGCCGGAGGAGTATCGGGTGCGCTCAGCAACGGAATCGGGTGACAAGGAGCAGTGGATGGCGTGATCGCAACAGGATGTGTCATGTTGGGTTGGGCCATGGATGGGGCAAGCCTGGGATGTTGTGGGCGCTGGAGGGGGGATTGCTGGATGCCTTTGTGCAGCTCAGTGTGGTTGTGCCTGTTTTTTTTCTTGTTTTTTGTCCACTTGGTCTATCTGTGCTGCATAATAACCTATGCTGGGGCCGTAGTAGGGCTTTGATTTCTGGGGGTGGGATTGCATGGTAGTTTGTCGGTTTGTGTGCGGTGCGTCTACATGTATGCAGTAAATTACTTATAAATCATTTATAAGGCGATGTTAAATAGTGAACACGAGAGGGGAAAAGCGCCCCCATATGGCAACCCTGTGGGTCCTCCATAAACATGTCCCGAATGTGTCCCGAATCTGTCCAGGCCGATGTGCTCCTTGCGTGCCACTGTTCTGTCCCGAAACTGTCCCGAAAGAAACTTTCGAGACAGCTAACCCAGACACTTTCGAGGCAAAATTGAGTTCGTCTCGAAAGTGTCTTTCGGGACAGTTTTTCACCTGTCCCGAAAATATTCGGGAAGAGTCTCTCGGGACGGTTGTGAGACATTACATTTCGGAGATGATGGCAATGTGATAATCTGATTCTCCAGCCATTCCTCATTCTATCAGCCTGCGATGCAGTGTACGCTGAATATAGACTCACTCCCAACTCCAGCCCCGCTCTCTCGTTGCCCCTTTCCCTGGCCCGCCCGGTTCTATTACCTCTCCTTCCCAGCCATGAACTGACCAGTCATTTTTCAATCGGTTCCCTATACATGTGGAACACTTCATTCTAAAAAAGGGATCTCACGCTGAATGTTCAGTCTTCTCTTACATTGTTGATCAGTGTTTTTTCATGTTCCAACTTTGATAGATCAGCCGTGTTGACAACCAACTTGAGACTCTAATGGTATGCTTGAATGCACTCAAGCGCACAGCAGGCCTATCATGCTACTCCCTGAATTCACCCTCCCACTACCGTGACACAAGCGCATCTGCACAGGAGCACTAGCACAAGGTGATGGCGTGGCACAGGTCAGCAGCCAGCGTGACCTGGCAAAGCCAGCGGAAGCCAGCTCGGCTGCAGCAGCATGGCTCGGATGCAGCAGCATGGCTCGGATGCAGCAGCATGGCTCGGATGCAGCAGCATGGCTCGGATGCAGCAGCATGGCTCGGATGCAGCAGCATGGCTCGGATGCAGCAGCATGGCTCGGATGCAGCAGCATGGCTCGGATGCAGCAGCATGGCTCGGATGCAGCAGCATGGCTCGGATGCAGCAGCATGGCTCGGATGCAGCAGCATGGCTCGGATGCAGCAGCATGGCTCGGATGCAGCAGCATGGCTCGGATGCAGCAGCATGGCTCGGATGCAGCAGCATGGCTCGGATGCAGCAGCATGGCTCGGATGCAGCAGCATGGCTCGGATGCAGCAGCATGGCTCGGATGCAGCAGCATGGCTCGGATGCAGCAGCATGGCTCGGATGCAGCAGCATGGCTCGGATGCAGCAGCATGGCTCGGATGCAGCAGCATGGCTCGGATGCAGCAGCATGGCTCGGATGCAGCAGCATGGCTCGGATGCAGCAGCATGGCTCGGATGCAGCAGCATGGCTCGGATGCAGCAGCATGGCTCGGATGCAGCAGCATGGCTCGGATGCAGCAGCATGGCTCGGATGCAGCAGCATGGCTCGGATGCAGCAGCATGGCTCGGATGCAGCAGCATGGCTCGGATGCAGCAGCATGGCTCGGATGCAGCAGCATGGCTCGGATGCAGCAGCATGGCTCGGATGCAGCAGCATGGCTCGGATGCAGCAGCATGGCTCGGATGCAGCAGCATGGCTCGGATGCAGCAGCATGGCTCGGATGCAGCAGCATGGCTCGGATGCAGCAGCATGGCTCGGATGCAGCAGCATGGCTCGGATGCAGCAGCATGGCTCGGATGCAGCAGCATGGCTCGGATGCAGCAGCATGGCTCGGATGCAGCAGCATGGCTCGGATGCAGCAGCATGGCTCGGATGCAGCAGCATGGCTCGGATGCAGCAGCATGGCTCGGATGCAGCAGCATGGCTCGGATGCAGCAGCATAGCTCGGATGCAGCAGCATAGCTCGAATGCAGCAGCATGGCTCGGATGCAGCAGCATGGCTCGGATGCAGCAGCATGGCTCGGATGCAGCAGCATGGCTCGGATGCAGCAGCATGGCTCGGATGCAGCAGCATGGCTCGGATGCAGCAGCATGGCTCGGATGCAGCAGCATGGCTCGGATGCAGCAGCATGGCTCGGATGCAGCAGCATGGCTCGGATGCAGCAGCATGGCTCGGATGCAGCAGCATGGCTCGGATGCAGCAGCATGGCTCGGATGCAGCAGCATGGCTCGGATGCAGCAGCATGGCTCGGATGCAGCAGCATGGCTCGGATGCAGCAGCATGGCTCGGATGCAGCAGCATGGCTCGGATGCAGCAGCATGGCTCGGATGCAGCAGCATGGCTCGGATGCAGCAGCATGGCTCGGATGCAGCAGCAGAGCTCGGATGCAGCAGCATGGCTCGGATGCAGCAGCATGGCTCGGATGCAGCAGCATGGCTCGGATGCAGCAGCATGGCTCGGATGCAGCAGCATGGCTCGGATGCAGCAGCATGGCTCGGATGCAGCAGCATGGCTCGGATGCAGCAGCATGGCTCGGATGCAGCAGCATGGCTCGGATGCAGCAGCATGGCTCGGATGCAGCAGCATGGCTCGGATGCAGCAGCATGGCTCGGATGCAGCAGCATGGCTCGGATGCAGCAGCATGGCTCGGATGCAGCAGCATGGCTCGGATGCAGCAGCATGGCTCGGATGCAGCAGCATGGCTCGGATGCAGCAGCATGGCTCGGATGCAGCAGCATGGCTCGGATGCAGCAGCATGGCTCGGATGCAGCAGCATGGCTCGGATGCAGCAGCATGGCTCGGATGCAGCAGCATGGCTCGGATGCAGCAGCATGGCTCGGATGCAGCAGCATGGCTCGGATGCAGCAGCATGGCTCGGATGCAGCAGCATGGCTCGGATGCAGCAGCATGGCTCGGATGCAGCAGCATGGCTCGGATGCAGCAGCATGGCTCGGATGCAGCAGCATGGCTCGGATGCAGCAGCATGGCTCGGATGCAGCAGCATGGCTCGGATGCAGCAGCATGGCTCGGATGCAGCAGCATGGCTCGGATGCAGCAGCATGGCTCGGATGCAGCAGCATGGCTCGGATGCAGCAGCATGGCTCGGATGCAGCAGCATGGCTCGGATGCAGCAGCATGGCTCGGATGCAGCAGCATGGCTCGGATGCAGCAGCATGGCTCGGATGCAGCAGCATGGCTCGGATGCAGCAGCATGGCTCGGATGCAGCAGCATGGCTCGGATGCAGCAGCATGGCTCGGATGCAGCAGCATGGCTCGGATGCAGCAGCATGGCTCGGATGCAGCAGCATGGCTCGGATGCAGCAGCATGGCTCGGATGCAGCAGCATGGCTCGGATGCAGCAGCAGAGCTCGGATGCAGCAGCATGGCTCGGATGCAGCAGCATGGCTCGGATGCAGCAGCATGGCTCGGATGCAGCAGCATGGCTCGGATGCAGCAGCATGGCTCGGATGCAGCAGCATGGCTCGGATGCAGCAGCATGGCTCGGATGCAGCAGCATGGCTCGGATGCAGCAGCATGGCTCGGATGCAGCAGCATGGCTCGGATGCAGCAGCATGGCTCGGATGCAGCAGCATGGCTCGGATGCAGCAGCATGGCTCGGATGCAGCAGCATGGCTCGGATGCAGCAGCATGGCTCGGATGCAGCAGCATGGCTCGGATGCAGCAGCATGGCTCGGATGCAGCAGCATGGCTCGGATGCAGCAGCATGGCTCGGATGCAGCAGCATGGCTCGGATGCAGCAGCATGGCTCGGATGCAGCAGCATGGCTCGGATGCAGCAGCATGGCTCGGATGCAGCAGCATGGCTCGGATGCAGCAGCATGGCTCGGATGCAGCAGCATGGCTCGGATGCAGCAGCATGGCTCGGATGCAGCAGCATGGCTCGGATGCAGCAGCATGGCTCGGATGCAGCAGCATGGCTCGGATGCAGCAGCATAGCTCGGATGCAGCAGCATAGCTCGCATAGCAGCAGGTGCAGCGCAGGACTCCCATTCCATTAACTCTCTGCGTTCCATCACAGTTGATGCCCTGTAACTTGTACCCGCTGTTTTCTCATCCAGGCACCTGCCCACCGATCAAAGGGAGTCGATTTCTCACACCGCATGTGATAAACCAGTTCTCTGTTACCTTGAGAAGAACTGGTTTGATTGAGCGAAGATGCGGTGTGGCCACACGTGTAAAGGAGGTGGAGGTGGCCATAGAGAACTGTATTATCAATGAATAAAGTGGTGAAACAAAGCACTCGATATTTAACTGCTAGTGTTCAGTGTTATTAATCGCATGTATTGCTGCTTACTGAACAATCGCTAATATGTACACACGACCAAAAAAAGGCAAACAAGGTGGCAGGTCACACTGTCCTCTCCAATCTTCCACCGTTCCAAGAAGTTGGGCTCAGACAAGCCAGCCCAGCCAGTCCAGCACGCAGGATTCCAACATTCTAGCAGTGCCCTGGCTACCATTACTCAACTCCCATTCCACGCCCCACATGCCCGCACCCTGAGGGCCCTGTTGTACACATGCCCGTCCAGCCTCACCACATCACCAGTAAATGATGACCGACGTCCCACGTTCACCCGCCTTCTCCAGTCCTTCCTCTCACCAGCGGTCTACCATCAATGCACCCGCTCTCAAGACATAGAAACCTGGAAATCTCTTCTGCATCGTCATGAAATTCTGGGCACGCCATGATCTCGAGGCTCCTGAGGCTGCTGACATGCCGATAGATGCAGCGCAAGGATCGCAGGTCGGGGCAGGAGCACATCGTCAGCCGCTGCAACCTTTTAAACTTGATCACCTCAAAAGCGCATGAAGTCAGGCGGGGAATGCCAAACAGTGAGAGCGTTGACAGGCTCTCAAGCCTGCAGAGGGACCACTTAAAGCCGTCAACAAAATGTGTCGCATCCGCTGCATTCCCAGCCGGGCAGCTAGTTGGCCATCCAAACTCAAGCGTTGTGAGGCTTGACCTCCAGTTCCGCAACAGGATTCGTGGAACCCTGGTAACGCTGTTGCAATGATTGAAGGAGAAGGTTTGAAGTTTGGAGAGGCTGGAAATGGAATCAGGAAGTCGAGTGAGGCTACTGAGTTGCCACAACTCCAAATGCTGCAGAGATGAGAAGCAATCCATGGATTCTGGAAGTTCCCTGAGCTTAATGCACATCTTGATGGTAAGGCTCTCGAGAGAAACAAGATTAGAAATGGCGCTAGGGAGATGTTGCAATTCTTCAAATTCCGTTAGCTCAAGGACACGCAGCGAAGTAAGCAGGAAGAACGAATCCGGGAGGGCGGAGAGGAAGGGGTTGCGCTTCAAGACGCACTCTTGGAGGTTCTGAAGGCGGCCAATGCTGTCCGGAATATCCTCCAGCTGCTCTGCAGAGGATATGATGAGTTTGACGAGCGAACTGAGGCCTCCAAAGGACTCGGGCAAGTGCTCGAATCCGTTGCAGCGTAATATTTGCAGCTCGGTCAGCCCGGTGAGAATTCCAAACGAGTCTGGGAGCTCGCTGAACGGGAGGTCGTCGAACGTCAGCTTCTTCAAGCATGTCAGCTTGCCGATTTCATCAGGAATGTCACAAGGGAGGGCTTTCAAATAAAGCTCCTTTAGGAAAGACAGACGGAAGAACGATGGTGGGAGATCTGCGGGAGATGCATCAAAAGCTAGTGAGAGATGCTCTAACCCCGTGCAAGCAGTAAAGAGTGCATCCAGATCATCCCGAGTCACAGCGTCTTCCTGCTGGCTTCTAAGGTCAAGATGAGTCAACGCGGGACAAGCGAATCCGAGGCCTAAGAAAAACTCGCACTCGTCATCGAAATCGCAATCGCATACTTTCAGAGATGTCAGTTCCGTGAACTTCGATAAGTATTCAAGAAGGCAAGCGTCGGCTTGAATCGCATCATCTCCACGGGAGCGCATCCAGATGGACGTTTGACTGCGATAAGTGAGGTGACGCCATCTCTTGCAGACCAAAATGTGGTTCAAGCTACCAGGGGACTGCTGGCCTAGCAGACGGAAGATGATGCAGAGGAGATCATCTGATATGCGATCGAACGGCGACGACCACCCGGAACGACACGGCGATAGGTCTTCGAACGAAGACATAGCTCACACAGCAAGAGCAGAAACTAAGGAGGTGGGAAAGGCGGTATGGAGCGATGGCGTGAGGGTTGAAAGGAAAACGAGAATCGACGACTTCCTGCTAGTTGGGTTATGTATCTCAGCTGACCTCTCGCCTGAAGAGTGTTTGGGTTCACAGTCGAATGACTCAATAAGCAGGAGGCTCCTGAAACTTGCGCGCTCAACTTCGGAAATAGATGTCGGCTGAATCTTGAGAAGAGGCGTATAAATTTCAGGTCTGAAGAGAAACTGCCTCCAGGGCAGTGATTCAGTGCGGGAACAAAAAATCTGAAACCGATGCGGGCCGGAAGGTGAACTTGATGACACACGGAATAGGCTTGCATGGCGTTTAGGTGAACGAATGTGGTGGTTTGCTGAGCATCCTAAAACATAGGTCTAAGCTTTCCAAGGCGCTGCGACAACGGTTCTTGAGGACCTCCTAGGCTTTGTGTTGCGTTGCGAATGGGGCTATAGAATTGACGAGGCTGGAACTGGTTTGGAGAATCCGTACCCTACAATATTCCATCGTATATGTTATTATTCGTAATAGAAGTGCTCAGAATTACAAACAACGCATTAGTGGCTGGATGAACTAAGCAAACAACAAAAGCTTCTGCAAATATGGAAAGGAACCTAAACAACAACTTTTAGCCTAACAACTGGCCATGCCAGGGTACACCCTGTTTGTCTAGGACCATCAAAATCCAATCTACACCCGGGAGCTAATAACCAGGAGGCATTGATTGCGAGTGTTATCACGGTACGGTACACCATTCCCTCGTCACTATTTGCATGGCCCTTGCCAGCAGAGGGTCAGGCAGCAGGCCCGGTGACGGGTTGGACTGCACCTTGTGGGGGTCTATTCCTTGCTGCGCCAACCACTCCACTGCTCCCCACTGCTCCTGCCTCACAGCGTCGTGCAGAGGAGTCCCTGGGGGAGCGACATACAGGGGGAGTGGTGCAAGGCGACAATTGGAGGAAGCAGTGGAGAAAGGGGGGAGGCGGGGGAGGGAATGATAGGAGAAGCAGCTGCCAGTGCACGATAGTGCAGAGAGGAAGGTGGCAGGGGCAACACAACACTCGATGCTTCTCTGTCCACTCACAGCACTTGTCAGTCTTAGCAAGGATGTCGGCACCGTAGCGTTTCAGCACTTTCATGCACGCCACGTGTCCCCCCCACGCTGCTCGGTGCATGGGGGTGCTTTGGTTGTGTGTGCGCACTCCAGCCGGCATGCCCAGCGCCAATAGCGCGTGCACCTGCAGTGGCATGACAGGGAGAAGAGGGAACAAGTGCACGAGTGAGAGAGAGAGAGAGAGAGAGAGAGATAGAGAGAGAGAGAGAGAGAGAGAGAGAGAGAGAGAGAGAGAGAGAGAGCGAGAGGACGAGCTTGGCTTCCGGAGTCCCATCATCCCTCTTAGTGAGGGTCACCTGCACCAGCTGATTGAGGCCCCGTCCGACCAGTAGGGTCGGACAGAGGGGGGGGGAGGAGTAGGTAGGGGTCAGGAGGTAGTTAGGATTCTGGTTTGTGTGTTTGTTTAGCTTGTGTGTTTGCATCTTGAGAGAGGCAAACAGAGGGAAGGTCGGCAGGATCCCGGGGCATGCAGGCAGCAGCATGCATGTGAGATATTGCAAGTGTACACAGGACTCTCCTTCGGGCACAGGAGCAGGGAATAGTAGCAAAGGGCGGCGACAGGAAGCATAGCGAAAAGGGAGGACTAATGGCAGGTGGAAGGAAAAGATGAGCAAAGAGAAGTAAGGAAGGAAAGGATAAGTCAAGGGAGACACAGAAACCTACCACAATTACTTTCCCGTCGCGAGCAGCAACGTGCAGCACAGTCCTGCCATACTTATCCACAATGGCCTCCAACTGCATTGCGCCAACATCAACACCGCGTCCCTTCAGCATTCCATTCAGCTCCTCCACATCCTCATCCGACAGATGAATCCCATCGGTATCAGCCTCGGTATAAGACAATCCGTGCTCCCTTGCATTCGCCACACCCTGCGGGTTCCTGCTCGCCTCCCTCGCCGCATTTCTTGACGCTCTCTCCGACACGAACGATATGATCTCCCTCAGAAGCGTTATGTCGACCAGCTTCGAAGCGGATGGGCGAGATGCAGCACACCGGCGTGCCAAGGAGGGGCGTGTGGTGTGATGACGTGCCGGGAGTCGGACTGTCACAATGCTGGGTGCTGGGGAGAGGGGTGCTGTGGATTGTGGGGAAGCAGAGAGCTGTGAGGAGGAGCCGATGGTGTTGTTACCAGAAGGGGGTGATAGCAGCTGGCGAGGCGAGGCGCGCGCAGGAATGGTGTCAGGGCCGACAGACTCAACATTGGGAGATGGAGAAGCGACAACAGAACAGGAAGGAGTGGCTGCAGAGGCAGAGGTAGCAGGAGGGCCTTCAACGCCACCATCGTCGGCTGCTGCTGATGATCTTGCTGCTACTGGTGTAGTTCCGTGAGGCTCGCTGTGAAGCGCCTCGGAATCACGGTCATGGTCATGGTGACGGTCATCCCCTTCTGCGTCATCAAAACCTAGACTCGCGAATTGCCGATGCAGGTCCGCCATCGCCGCGCATCCGCCGTCGTGTCGGGGCTGACCACGGTCGCCAAACGAAGCCAGACACCAGCCCGTCGCCTCGACTCGCCGCAATTCTCGATGATAAACGCCCGCCGCACTGCTATTCGAGTTTTGTTGCAAAACACCGACGGTTGAAACCAGGCCCGTCCGAATCGTTCAGGAGAATGGGCTGGAGGAGACATATCCTGTATTAGTACGCCGGTAAATCCTGGCCGCTGAAGACCATCGGCTGGTGAGTGAGATCAGGACGACGGGCCAAATCTCCCCGATGTGGCTTACCGCACTCAGGGACGTCCCGTCCCATCGTAACCTCCAGCGTTGATCAATCTCAGCACGGCCGAGCAGCGTCGCGGATTGCGCGCATGCAGGCAACCACCGCCATGCTCGCCGCCGAGATTCCGGCGATGCAAGGCAGCGCGGGGTCGCAGCGCGCGATGGGCATGATGGCCTGCGATGCGACCTAGTAGCTGACGCCTATCCAGGCGCGCAGCCTTCGAGGGCTTCACGAGGAGGCACGAGGGAAGGGAAACCGCGCTGAAGACTCTTCGGATCTCTCGGCATTCCGATATGCTGCCCGAAATGCTTCGCCATCAAGCTGCGGTGGGTATGACGACTTGCCTATCGCGGGGATCAAACAACCTCGAGTGGATGAAGGGCCGAGGTTGCCTCGGCAGGGGTGAACATGGTTGACACTCGTTAAGAAAAGTCCCGATACGAGCGATCGATATTGAAGAAAGCATTGGATTACGGAAATATGCTACAGAAAAAGAGACAAACTCCAAAACCAACTATTCTGGGTGAAAACTAACTAGGCTGGTAACAGGTTGGGAAAAGCCACATTATTCACTAGTCTTTCACGGCCAGCAGTTTGGGTAATGAGCGACACATCACAAATACATGGATGAAATTAAAATCGTCCCACTATCCTATCAACAAGGTACGGTGGTCCATGTTGCGCACGCACTTGCAGGATCCCGAACCAGATGCTTTGCTTGCAGTGACTCATGCGTCACTCTCACAAGTCAGTAATCCTCATAAAAAATTCCACATGGCGTCCCGACGAGCAATAGGAACGAAGTTGGAATGAAAACAACGTGGGAAATAGGAATCTGAGAAGCGGGAATGAGAAGATGTGTGTGAATGGGAATGGGAAACGGCTTGGACCACTATCATGGCATGTGTGCATGGCAGACAGTAGAGTGACTGGGGGAGGGGAGATGGCTGCGGGGATGATGGACGGGCGGATGGGCGAGTCTGTGGCTGATGCATGGGAAGCGATGCCATGGAGGGGGAAATGACAGAGGAAGATTGCCTGAGTAATGGGAAGGTGGCTGGACAAAGGAAAAAAAGGGGAAGTTAACTTGAAAAATGGCAAAGGAGTGGTGACGTGAACATGGTTATGGGAAGCGAAAATGGAGCATTTAATGGACATGTGGAGATCGAACGTTGGCTTGACAAATGGCAATACAAGCAGAGTCAAAACTTGACAATGGAGGGTGACATGTAGCTGGGACGATGATCGTGTGATTGCTAGGAAGTTGAATGGAGAACAGCTTTGGGAAATCGGCGGCAGGGCAATGACACTGAAAAGAGGAATGGAAAACATGAGACGGAAAATGAATGGCAGTATCAGACCACGACAAGTGACAATGGAGGTGACTGAAGAAGTGAAAACAAACAATTGACTCGGAAAAGAGATGAAGGGATTGAGCAGGAATCATGACAGCGTGAATTAGGCTGTGCAAGAGGGAATGGGAAGGCTGGAGCAACCGTAAGAAGTTGAAGGCAGGAATACGGCAAGTATATACTCGAAGCGTACAACTAACAATGTGAAAGTGGTGTTAGGAGGGGAAGATGAATGTGACGGGGAATGGAAAAAACGGACACTGGGTAGAATGAGGATGGTAGGCAGAAGGAACGTCTACACGCAGCACAACATTCCTGACCCCCCCTGCCCTGCTTGAATCCCGCACCTCCCATTCCATACCCTTTCAGACACTCCACTCTTCTTGGAATGGAAACTTGACAGAGGAAGAATGGCGAATGAGAGCATGACATGGGATCACATCACTGACACAGCGATCATGAGACCATTAGAGTGGGAAGTGGGGACCCAAGAGAGGGAAACTGAGCATGGGGGAAATGAGGATGGCACAAAGGTTATTAGGGGAAGTAAGACAGGACAAAACGCTATGACAATATGATGTCAAGAGAAAGTGACCACTGAAATGGGTGGATGGCATGCGTGCGATTATGACATGGAATGAGGAAATGAGCATGGAACATGGCAATGGGATTATGACCATGAGATAAGAGCATGCCAAATGATGAAAACCAATTGCATTGCAAGTCCGCCACGAGAAGTATGCCCTGGCTGACATGCATTGGCTGACATGCATTGGCTGACATGCATTGGCTGACATGCATTGGCTGACATGCATTGGCTGACATGCATTGGCTGACATGCATTGGCTGACATGCATTGGCTGACATGCATTGGCTGACATGCATTGGCTGACATGCATTGGCTGACATGCATTGGCTGACATGCATTGGCTGACATGCATTGGCTGACATGCATTGGCTGACATGCATTGGCTGACATGCATTGGCTGACATGCATTGGCTGACATGCATTGGCTGGCATGCACTAGCTGACATGCATTGGCTGGCATGCACTAGCTGACATGCATTGGCTGGCATGCATTGACATGCACTAGCTGACATGCATTGGCTGACATGCATTGGCTGACATGCATTGGCTGACATGCATTGGCTGACATGCATTGGCTGACATGCATTGGCTGACATGCATTGGCTGACATGCATTGGCTGACATGCATTGGCTGACATGCATTGGCTGGCATGCATTGACATGCACTGGCTGACATGCATTGGCTGGCATGCATTTACATGCATTGGCTGACATGCATTGGCTGACATGCATTGGCTGACATGCATTGGCTGACATGCATTGGCTGACATGCATTGGCTGACATGCATTGGCTGACATGCATTGGCTGACAGCATTGGTGGCTGACATGCATTGGCTGACATGCATTGGCTGACATGCATTGGCTGACATGCATTGGCTGACATGCATTGGCTGACATGCATTGGCTGACATGCATTGGCTGACATGCATTGGCTGACATGCATTGGCTGACATGCATTGGCTGACAGCATTGGTGGCTGACATGCATTGGCTGACATGCATTGGCTGACATGCATTGGCTGACATGCATTGGCTGACATGCATTGGCTGACATGCATTGGCTGACATGCATTGGCTGACATGCATTGGCTGACATGCATTGGCTGACATGCATTGGCTGACATGCATTGGCTGACATGCATTGGCTGACATGCATTGGCTGACATGCATTGGCTGGCATGCACTAGCTGACATGCATTGGCTGGCATGCATTGACATGCACTGGCTGACATGCATTGGCTGGCATGCATTGGCTGACATGCCTTGGCGGACATGCATTGGCTGACATGCATTGGCTGACATGCATTGGCTGACATGCATTGGCTGACATGCATTGGCTGACATGCATTGGCTGACATGCATTGGCTGACATGCATTGGCTGACATGCATTGGCTGACATGCATTGGCTGACATGCATTGGCTGACATGCATTGGCTGACATGCATTGGCTGACATGCATTGGCTGACATGCATTGGCTGACATGCATTGGCTGACATGCATTGGCTGACATGCATTGGCTGACATGCATTGGCTGACATGCATTGGCTGACATGCATTGGCTGACATGCATTGGCTGACATGCATTGGCTGACATGCATTGGCTGACATGCATTGGCTGACATGCATTGGCTGACATGCATTGGCTGACAGCATTGGTGGCTGACATGCATTGGCTGACATGCATTGGCTGACATGCATTGGCTGACATGCATTGGCTGACATGCATTGGCTGACATGCATTGGCTGACATGCATTGGCTGACATGCATTGGCTGACATGCATTGGCTGACATGCATTGGCTGACATGCATTGGCTGACATGCATTGGTTGTCATGCATTGGCTGACATGCATTGGCTGACATGCATTGGCTGACATGCATTGGCTGACATGCATTGGCTGACATGCATTGGCTGACATGCATTGGCTGACATGCATTGGCTGACATGCATTGGCTGACATGCATTGGCTGACATGCATTGGCTGACATGCATCGGTTGACATGCTTTGGGAGAGGTGGGGACAGGGATGAGATTTGAAAATCACCGTGGTGAGCAATCAAAGTGGGATTTTGGCAAGAGAATTGACAACACAGCTTCAATTGAACAACTGTTGATGGCCAGGTAAACGGCAGATGTCTATGTGAATGTTCTGGCCAGGAAAATAGAATGAGATGGAAAATGGTAACGGCAAAGTCACTGAACGAGATAGAGAGTGACGAGGGAAAGCGAAAATTGAGAAACAAGCAGCACCATGCTAAGTTGACTGGACTGGACAAACGGATAGGGGAAGCTGACTGGAAAATGGCAATGGGAATGAAAACATGGTTTTGAAAAGATTGAATGACATGTGAAGAGATTGGCTTACCAGTTGCAATGGCAGATGTGGAAAGGGCAAGCTGAATGGTAAATTGGACAATGTGCATGATGCAGAGCAGGAAATGGGAGTAATAAGTGGTTAAAAGAATGAGCATGGAAAGCCAGATGTGCCTGGTGTGACATGTGATCAAGTAGAACTCATTAAATCTCCACACTCCACTCTCATCCCACACTCCCCGAGCAGAGCTACCAGTTAGGCTGGATAAGTGACAATGAGGAAAGTTCATAAGAGAGCTGGCAACTTAAAATTGGAGAGGTGAAGTGAACAGCATGGCAACGGGAAGCTGGCAGGAGAAATCACAGCGAGAAGTGGATGTGAAAAATGGCAGAATGGTAAGTGGATAGGGAAATGAAGGCCATCGGAAAGAGGGCAATGACACTGATGGGAGTCTGCGACTGGAAGCGCTCAGTAAGATAGCCGAGAAGGTCCTTGGCATAGCGGATGTGCGAGCACTGAGGGAGAAGGGTTGGAGGTAGGCAGGCAAGGATGACCTGGCAGGCACGTGCGTTGGCAACATGCCAGTCAGCGAGAAGGTCAGAGTGAGATGGAGCAGAAGCAGAGGGCAGAGGGGCAGAGCGAGGAGAAGGGGTAGCGAGATGCTCAGAGAGGCGCTTGCGGGTGCTCTCGAGGGATTCAGAAAGAACACGAGCGAGGTCACGGGCAGCAGCATTGTCAGGAGCAGCCGCGGCAGTGGTTTGGGCCGTGGCCGCAATCCGCTCAGTTTCAGCGATAGCAGCACGAAGGCCATCAGCATAGGGATCGGAGGAGGTAGAGGTAGGTGTAGAGGCAGGTTTAGGAATGGCGCCAGAGCCACTCTGCTGAGTGACAAACCAGAGGTTAAAGCCACTCACGAGGGTGCCAGACAGCGTGCGCTCAAGACAGTTCAGCCAACTGGGGAAGTTGACTGCGCTGCCATCAGGCGCGAGCTGAAGGACCAGCAGAGGGAGGGAGGGGAGGGCGAGAGAAGTCGCCATAAGGAGGAGGAGACAGCTGCAGAGCAGATGAGGGGAGAGGTATAAGAGGCGGAGGAATAAGGGGCGAAGCAGTCTGCTGCTGAGCCGCTGAGGGGAGAAAACAAGAGGAGGAGGAA